AAACAGTCCATAAACTCAACAAACACATCCAACAAAACCGAGTAAAATATTCCCAAAATCTTACCGCCGTTTTAGCGGGCATCAGAGTCGGAGCATAATTACTCCCCAATTTGAAACCCCCAGATCCTGAAAATAAACCAACAGAATTACAATTGGGGGGAGACAACCTCATTAGAGCTACATATATATGAAGTTACATAAAATTTTCACCAATGGTGTGAAAACACCGCTGAGCGTTCATTCGACATCGCGAGAAAATATACTCTCTATTTCACAGCCAAAAAATCTATTCTGTTCAAAAATCGCCTATTCGATACCTTTCTAGTACAACCGAAGCGAACCATCGAACACAGCCCATCAACTGATCGAAGAATTCTACATTTCATCGGGTAATCCCCGGTTCGATTCCCGGCACCGGCGTTTTCAACTAGCAGCGAGTGACGATTTTCCATACCAATCCCCAAGTATTCCAAACCACACGATCGAATATAAGAACTATCCGTTTGTTTGCGCGGTATTCTTGTATGTCACCCCACCCAAAGGTGACACCACGCAACACTCCAACGTGTCACCAACTATTCCCTCGTTATTACCTCCAGGCCACGCTCGAACGTTACGAGTGCATGCTAGTAAAGACACTGGCTTAAACCCGCAAGGGAAGAACCTAGCCAGGGAAGATCCATCCTAATCATCGATGTGCGCACAGCGAAGATTCCAAAGATACGCCCACTTACGGTCCAACTGGACTGCAAATAACGTAGAGTTTCCCGCGAGATCCCGCAGCGACTTCCAAACTGGGCTAAATACGGGAAAAATACCGCGACCAGGATTCGAACCCACGCCTACCTCAGTTCCTATGAACGTTGGACGAATATACAAGGAATATCCATATTCATCCGAAATCAGCTTCTCATCGATCAGAACCAATTCTCTTATCAGCGCATATCTACCATTAACTCCTCCACGTCAAAGCACACGCTACTTCCCTCTACTACAGAGCTTCCGCATCCGTTTTATCAAAAGTTGCAACACCGCTCCGCTCGATAGACCTGGCAAATCGCCGAATATTATCTCGCAGACGAAACTCTGTGATCACACCTTCCTTGTTTTTAAACCTGATCAACATTCCATAGAAGAATTATTTCAGCGGCCCACACTTGAACAATACGCAGTGAAGTTTCACCACCCTAGTGATATGAAAAAAACATATTTCACGACTACTGCATATCACCGCGAATATCGCGTTTTTCACCGAGTTTTACGACGCCACTTCACGTAAAACGGGTTGTGAAACCGAAAAAGTTGACACCCTTCTTACACCTTAGCCCCTTCGAAACACTCCACTGCATAGTGTAGGACTGTTGACGCTGGATGAATCGAGAGCTCACCAAAAGGAGCGATGACAGGCTGACAACAGACACAGTGGTACGACACCAGTAGGAAGGAGCAGTCCATTTCAACTACTCGGTGAATATATTGGAGTTTCACCACCCTGGTGATATAAAAAACACTAGTGAAAAACGACACCG